TTCTTGAACTTTCTTGCGCCTCGCCTAATTCTGCTGTAGATTTTGCGACACCCGTAGCATTGCTTTGATCATCATCTTTCTTCGTGGCTTCCAAATTGTTGTTATCGCCAACGGCCTTCACTTTCTCACGGCCGAAGTAGCGGCAGAGGCTCATGTTAACTAAGATGATAATAATAAGATGAATGGTAAATTGCCATCGTCGAAACAAACATGGCGGCATCACGGAGCGGATCTCACTAGTGCATCATGAACTGTGTTTACTGGTACCAACCGCTGATTAAAGCACAACAGGCTCATTCAAATAAGAATGTTGTGCAAAAACGAACTTCGGTTTCCAACGGTAGTGTACGTGATACTTTAGTATTTCTTCCGCGTTGTTCTTTTTCTTTCCACTAACTTAGTTTAGGTATCGCTTACTCTCCAAAGACAACAAGCTGTTATATTTATTCAAATCTATCAAGTCCTCATTAAGGACTAGTGCCACGACAGATTGGGTTGCCCAAGGGGCAACCACTTAGCACAATTTGGTTGCCCCATCGTAATTTTGGTTGTCCGAGACAACCGGACAACCGTTAATTTCGAACCCTGCCCAGGGTTTGTGTGAAACTTAAATTCAGATATGAAAGCTTAAAAAACAAACTCAGTTTAATTCTCTCTGACTACAATTTGATGATTGGATGCTCTAAAACAAATAGAGAAAGTTAGCAAAGAAAACGCTTCTGATTAAGAGAAAAAAAAACCCAGCTTAATCCCTGGTTAACACAAATTGTCCTTCAAACAACTGGGCCCTGGGGAATAAAATAAAGTCATTCAAAGTCAGATGTTATTTGTATCCGGCCCTGGCCGTTTATTTGTAAGAGTCATAGATACTTAACTTTAGGGTGGGACCAGCAATCCAAAGATGATGCCACAGATGGCCCTTGTATACCGTCTTTTAAAGAATGTTCTGAGTTGTTATAACGCTCCAATCAATATTTGGCTCCAGTTCCAACTGTTTGACTTATAAGAGACAAGCTTCAAAGATAACTGTTAGAAGATCTGGGAAATAAAACGGTGATGACTATAAAAAAAGTCCCACAGCCATCTGATATAATCCTTTGATATTTTTTCTCTCAATTTATTATTATTCACTGCACATACATGTAGAGTAGGAATTACAGTTGTACTAATGAACTAAAATCTGTTTTGTCTTCATTTCATAAGAGCGCTACTACCCTGAAGAAGACAGATGGGCTTTTGTTGCACCAATGAGTGTTTGCCGTAGTGGACACAGCGTAGGAGTTGTTAATGGGTGTCTGTATGCTCTGGGAGGTCATGATGGGGTGTCATACCGCAACAAGGTAGAATTCTTTGACCCTCAAGTTGGTGAATGGACTAGTGTTGGTCAGATGGGAATGTGTAAGGCTGTGGCTGTTGTAGCTGTTATGAAGGAACACTGACATTTGGAGCACATATCAGTTTTGCAGGAGTTAGAGCGATTTTCGTGTGACTTTGAAATGAAAACGCGGGAACAGAACAAAAACAACAAACGATCGGAAGTAGAGCGATTTGATTGGTTTATCGAACGGATACAAACGCGCGTGGCTTTTGGTTGGTTAAGCGAACGCTCGGGTGAAAAAACTTAATGCCCGAAGAACTTTCTAGAAATCAACCGGTACTTCGTTTTGGTGTCATACTGCAACACGATTGGCTAATCGAACAATACCCTCTCCATATTAGGATGTTCTTTGGCGGGAAAACGAAGAGGCCTTTTTTTGTCTTTTCATCCACTGGCTGATAAAACAAATAACGAACACTTACCGAAGCCATTTTTCAAGGACATACGAAAATCGCTTTATACAAAAAAAAAACAAAAAACAAAAAACAAGAGCGTTTACTTTTGTCCCTTCGTTATTTCGAGGTTCCACTTAGCATCAATTTTGCTAGCAACGAGATTTTTTACAAACCTCAATCCAAATCGGGTTGCAGGGGGAAATCACGGATGATGGGTACGGATCCCTGAAAAATTCCAAGATAGGATACTAAAAAACGCTTACTACCCTGATGACCCCTTCTTTTATTTACTCAATGCTGGAAATAACCATCCTGCGTAGCAAGCGTTTCCGTTTTGTTTCGGAGCACAGAAAGACCGAGGAACGGGATTTTCGGTTTTAGCCGTGCGAAAAATGGAACGAGAGCCCCTCCACTCTCTTTTACTCGCGCCATTTTTCGCGCGGTCTTTGACTCTTGTTCCTCGTTCTTTGCGACGAAACCGCACGGAAACGCTTGCTACGCGACCGTAGGCTAGGTAACAACTGTCGCTAGGAACTGATGATGTGCTGTCGAATTAAACTTGCAAAATGTGCAATGAATTGAAAAATTGTTTGGACTTGTTGTCAAAGCAAAGGTGTCTCCGCCCTTCCCTTGAATGCATGGTGGTCAAAGAAGAAGAAGGAAGTAACATTGTATTTTCTTTGGAGACGTCTCGGTTGAATTCACCATTTGATTGAAACAGCACTGCAATGCTCAATGGAGCACAAAAGTATTGAATTCCGTCAGGAACATGTATGTATATGCCCTGTAGATGTTAACCTTTTCCAAGAGTGTTATAAGATTGTCATAGCTATTTTAAAAGGTTTACTTGGCAAAAATTTGATATGTTTTCGAGACATTGCTGAAGTCATGCTCTAAAAGAAAATGGAGAGCTCATACTTAATAATATTTATTTGTGAAAACACTCTTTAGTCCACTAGAGTGATGATAAGATATTACTGTCTATGTTAGACGCACAATGAATTTTGGCTTTTTGTTTTACATTATAAGCCGTTATTACTATTTATGTTTTGCGTTGCACAACGCGCCATTAAATGTACAAAACAAAGTGTTATTACGAGTGCAATTGCTACTAGATTATTTAGAAATCAACAGTAGATATTATTAGCGCTCCTCTTAGGCTTTAATTCTTTGTAAGGGTTGCTACCTTTTGGGCCGGTACATGTCCTGAAACATGTCCTGTCGTGTGTACTTAAGGGGATACATTAAAAATACTGATCATTTTGTCTCTTATTCAAAACGCACAAAACCAGTTGAAAATCTAATAGAGTGGAGAAGTCGTTATGTCACGTTGCCATGGTAGCAAAATTTCTGGATGACAACAAACCGAAAATATCATTTAAAAAGTGAATTCGCACTGTTTCAAACTTCGACGATCTTATTCAATTTCATTTAATTTGTCAAATGATGGCGAAATTTTCTGGGGTTAAATCCGAAAGGACCGTATCTAAGTTTAGAAAAAGAAAACGAAAATTTTTGCGTTGTGCTCGCCTACTTCGTAAAGCGGGTGCGTGAAATTTGTAAGTTTTACGTTGCAGTCGTGCAACGACGGCTAAGAAACGTACGAAAAAGCGTGATGCACTTGCGCAGTTGTTGTGCTGATATAAACCTATTGCTTTTTCGCCGTTCTCGTAGCCTTCGTTGGCGTCGTTGCTTAAGCTCCCTATTGTTGTGATCCAGAAATTTTGCTACCATGGTAACGTGACGTCAGACTTCTCCTCTCCATAAACGACCTCACGAACAGAGCGTGGTTGGCCTGTGCACAGATATTTACGAGTATCCAAGCATTCACAACTAGAATCGAGGTTATTAAAGTAGTGTAGTCTATGCCACAATATTTGCCATCTTTATGAATATCGAAAACTTTTTTCGCATCAGTTGAGTTCCAGTAATACTTCAGTTTTGTTACGATATTTAGGCATTGAAACTGTTTCCCGTCGTCTGTTGCAGCGGTTGGCAAGGATGGACATGGATTGAAACTTAGCTGGGCCAACTTTTTCAAGTTTTAATACTATGCCTGCAAATATCTCAAAAACTATTATTATGCGTGGTGCTCCTGGTGAAATTTGTTTGATATTTTCTTTATAACCCTACAGGAGTATTTTGTGCAAGGGCCGCAAAGAAATTAAGTATATAATGACTTCCCGGAGCGGGGGGGGGGGATACTTCTTTAGAGGATGTGCCGCTGGGACACTGGAATCTTTAGCCTGTACCAGAGCTAGTCCAAGTGAATTTTGCTACCTTTATTTTTACTAGACTAAACTCCCCAATTCCCCTCCTATCCACTTCAAGAGTAGCTGTTTTCCAGAAACTACTGAGGTCACTAGCACAGTCCAGGCAAAACAAAACCGATTTGATTTTTATGTACATATATATTTGAGTGGTTTCCCTAGTCTAGACTCAAATCTTCAATCAATTGATCAGTTTCCTTGATAATGATACCTATTCTAGGCCCAAACTCTCTGATTTATATACCCTATCCCATAGTAAACTACTTGAAAACCGTACCCTTCGCAGCGGCAGCACCCATGATCCCCGGGAATGACTTCAACTCAGAATTGACCTAAAATAGCAACGTCTTCGTGAATACCCCCTTTACATGTAAGGACTTTCGTTTTACATTCTTGTTGCGTTAACGATTGAAATGATAAAACTGTGAAAGGTTTGAACCCAGGAGTCATTTCAAAAGTAGGTTGATAAAACTGTAGGTCAAAAGCTGCGACCGTCAGGAATAGTGCCAACTTCACCAGTTTCTAATAACTCAGGGCGGGCTTACTATTATCCGCCCTGGTGTAGCCCGTCTAGGGTTACGTAAACAAACAGGGATAATCTCTCAGTCGACTCTCACGCTACGCTTCGTTGGGCTTAAACAGCGTCCTGTTTGAAACAATAGGCTGATTTAGCAACAGAACGGGAACGTCATTTGACGACGGGAAAGCGCGCGAAAAGGACTAAACTCGACTTCTGGTTCCCAATTTCTCGCTCTACCATTGGTCAAGCTAGCTGTTTGATTCGCGCGCGCCGTTGTCAACTGACGTTCCCGTTCTGATGCTAAATCAGCCTAATAAGGTAAAAGCGCACACAAATCAATGAGGTCGACTCCACGTAGCCTGAGCTTGACTCGGCTTGTGTAGCACGAAAAAGGTACAGTTGAATCACCAAGAACAAATAGCGTTGGTTCAAATTCGCTTAGAGACTTAGCTTTAACCAAGTAAACGGTGACGACGATATCTTAACGTAACCCGACACTAATCAGCCTGTTGCTAAGAGGTCGGTGACCATTTTCGTTGAAGGCCACACCCTTGTACCAACGATTTGTGGAGGCTGTACGGAAGTAACACGATCTTCTATCACCACACCACGAGTCACAATGCTTGTAACAATGAGTGTAACCGGAAACGAAGAAGCCCGAAAAGAAAGGATGATCACAGATAAGCAGCTGGTAGGAGTGGTACGTATAGTTACTTGCTCCTAATCCGTCCGGCAACACTCCGTCCCACAGTCCATAGACACTGCCGTTGTTATATCTGTAGCCAGTGTCAGCGGCTTTAATTGGTGTCTGGCTACGTCGTGTGAAGTAGGCCTTCCCTCCAGTTTCGTGATCAATAAACATGATTTCTGTGAACTAGAACAAAAAGCAACAGCGAAATAAGGGGAGAAAGAAGCTATGATGTTCTCAGAAATTTAAAGTTCACCTGCATTTGGTTATAGGATTTTTGGAATTGCTTGTTTCTACTGGCGAGATGATTACAGTAATTGTCAGAACTGTTTCCAGAACCTTTGCCAGTTTGTCCATCGCTAACTCAATAAGCCATTCAAAGCCGTGAATTAATCAACTTACTTTGATGTTGTTGCAGTTCGTTCTGTACCCGTCAGTTCCATATGGAAATGTGAAATTGTACTTGACTTCAGTCCTGGGTTTGGCGTATTCATGAGTTGTGTAACACATGGTCCATCCTCCATTGTATGACGTCATGTCACAGTAAGCCAGGAACGCGTTTGAATGGCTTTCTCCATCAGGGTGCAACCAGTACATACCGTCTCCCTTAGAATGACCTTTCATTTTCATATCCCTACAACTGACTTCTATCACTGTAAATAAGGTGATTAAAATTTCAATCCAACGACTAAACACAGTCAAGAGCCATAATAGGACCTATGGCTCTTGACACAGTATGGACATTTTCTCCTTAGTATGCCTTTAACATAAAAAATATAGCCGGTCCCTAAAGAATTCATAGAAAACAGCTGAGGATTTAATTGCGGGCGACAAGAGGAGCCCGCAATCTTAATCTCCAGGTTGTTATAACGCATGCGTCGCATGTATGTTGCCAGCATTCGTTTGGACTTCTACTAAGAATGAATGGGTTGCACAGAGTGCAATTTGATCACGCGCGTTTGGACTTTCTATCACTTGTAATCTCATCACGCGTGTTTTGACTGTCTGTCACGTGAAACCGTACGCAAAACACAGCGATGGAGCAAAAGCGTTTTGACCTTAGATCGTTCTCGCCCGCACTCCGTAACCTTTGGTTATTACTAGTTTATAAATATGTACGCTTAAAGGTTATATCTTGACAGCTGTTGACTCCCATAACAAATGATACAGGTAATAAGAAGGATATTTTAGTTCAGTCAGATCAGTCTCAGTTTAGTTTCAGTTTAACAATTCACCAGAAAAAAAAATTAAATACTTAACGTTGCATAATTATATGAATTAAAAAGTTAAAGGCTAATTAAAAAGGTAACATAAATCACACAACTTACTGTTACAAATATGTTCCTGGCGAGGAAGCGCAAATCGAGACTGTGGGGGGCTTATTTACTTATTTTGAGCTCTATCCCTAATTTAAGACTACACAAACGCCTACGTCGCGAAATTAATTTGCACCCTTCCAGAATGAGATATTCAGTGGTAGTTATTGACCTAGGTATGGCACTTTCATCTAGAAAGATGCTCCTACATAAGAGCGTTTTGTTTGACATTTTAAGCTTTAAACCTTAGCTTCAGTTAAATTTCGAGCAACACTGGCCTAACCTAAAAATTTAGCTGGGTTAGGAAAAGATTCCGTTTCCCATAAAACATCACAGGACGAAATTTCAAGAATCCGTAAATGGAAACTTAACGTAAACACGTAAAACCGTTGCGGAAACATGACGGTAATCACATGTTTCCGTTAGCGGATACATTACGTTTACCCGTGTTTCCGTCGCTGCGATTCCGGCGGAATCGTACCACTTTTTACTATGTTTCCGTCAAATTTCGCCTAACCGAACACGTGTTTCCGCAAGAGTAAATGCGTGGCATCCTTGCGGAAACACGCGAAAACGTTCCGGAAACAAGTCAATTTCATGTTAGGGCGCTTTCCATTTGTCAGAACTGACCGGCCAAACCATTCCCAACGCAATGAGAATTTCCATTTTAATCAAATCTCTCCAGCCAGATCAGTCAAATCCTAAGTAGTATGCACCAAGGAAATGGTTGTTAAGCAAAAACTCTTGGCAAAAGCATATTTCAATATCAAACCGACTGGTTGGACAATGGTCCGGCCGGCCAGTTTGGACAAATGGAAAGCGCTCTTAAAGTCTGGATCACTCTGTTACAGTCGATTTCACATTATTTACCACACCATGTTGCAAAGTTCGTTGGAAAATTGGGTACTACATCATGAAGTAGCCAATTACTTAGCAAGTTAGGGAATCAAATTGCGAACTTCAAGACATAGTTGTCAACCACGACTGAGCTTCACAAGTTTGCTCAACAGTAACTTCACTTCCCAGTTGTTTTAATCACCGAGTTCTCGTCAAAGAAGTACCTATTCCTGGGATCACAGTTACTGAAAAAAAATACATGCTTCAACTTTTTCTTGAGCGTTCTCAGTCAAGCATTATTATATTATTAGATTAAGCTCTCTTTTGGAACTATTGTCAACTCTTTGCAAGAGTAACCGAAATCACGTGTCAATACATGACTTATCGAACCTTTGCGGGTCAACAACCTGATTTTCGATTAAATGTTTTTGTATTTCCGTAGCATACATACTTGGTCGTTGCTGTTTAAAAAACTCTGTGTAGGGGCTTCCTGGACATATGAAACGATCAACAATATTTGTTACCGTCCTTCTCAGTAAATTAAACTGGTGCACTATTTGGAATGGTTTCAAACCCCAGTGATTTTGTTACCTCTGCATCTTGTGTCCCTCACACAAAAAATTATCCAAAGACGCAAAATAATTCATGGCATGCATCCCGTAGGATGCAAAGGATGATCGATCGATTTGAAGATTTGTTGGTAGAATATCCTGTTTGTGCGATTTCTGTAGCTGTTGTTTAAAGATGTATATAATTATTTTAGTCTTTTTGTGCTTTAAATATATAGGACTATATTTTCATTTTAGTAAACTGTCATAAAAAGTTTTGGCATCTGTCTCCAGATTAACTGTCTGGTTAAAAGGCCCATACCAAGCATTTTCAATTAAGGACTCCCTGTTTTTTAACTGGGACTCACTGGTTGTGCATGTGGACAGGCCAGAACTCTTGACTATTCACAAAATGAGTCCCAGGACTCACCATGCATATACTATTTGTAACAAAATCACTGGAACCCTCTAACCATTTTTCTACAATCATTTCACAGACCTCACAGTGCAGCGCCTCGCCTTGTTTAGTAAGAGGATTCAGGTTCATTATGTTGCAGTTTCCTGCTCGGGAAATTACTGTACTTATCAATCACAGCTTTGTGTCAACAAATATGTCTCCCAAGCATTATCTCAAATGCTACAGACCACAAAAATGAAATATGGAAAACTGTTAAGCTTACCTCGTCTTACTATCGGTATTCCATCACAATCCTCCGCCTTGGATAGCCTTAGCACGGTAAAACACTCCAACTTTCAAATTATACTTGCGCATCACGAGGTTTTTGTCTCACATTCTGCTCCACTGTGTCAGAAAAGAGTCGCTTTACGAGGGAAGCGATCGATTACTGAAGGCCGGTGGGTCGCTAAATATACATAACAACCCTTAGATGTCTTGTGGTATCATCAGAAAGCAAAAATATACCGATTCCACGCTCCTAGAACCTATAGAAGCTGGCAAATTTGAAGCCGTTGAAATCACTTTCAAAATGGACGCCAAAAAGAATGACCCTAATGAGCATGAGCAAAGGAAAAGTCCGCTGACCAGCACTCCGCTCTGTTCTAGGCCCCATTCTCTCTTGTTTTCCCTGTTGTTTTCTCCGTCTAAGAGCATTTTAGTTTTACGCCAGTACTAGTACTGATTAACATCAATCTGGCAAATATTGAAAGCGGTTGGTAAGCTCTGCGATTTTTATCACTTAGAATGGAAAGCAATGGCAACCTCGCACACTTCACAGTCTTTGCATCAATGCAACGCGCGCGAGTAATGCATGAGAACCGATTAATCTCGAGAGTAAATTTACCTTTATTCACCTTGATTGTACGCCAAGGCAAAGTTTACGAAACATTGATCATGCGATGTTGGACATGGGTTAAAAAAAAAAGAAAAAAATTCGTCACCTGAAACGTAACGGAAACAAGAAAGAACGGAAATGTGATGACAGAAATGTGGCGGAAACATGATCGTTCGTTTCCGACGCGGAAACATGGCGGAAACGCGTCCCGTCCATGGAAAACTAGATCACCATGTTTCCGCAGGGCGGAAACGTGACGGATATAAGCAACTTCCCGTTTCCGTCGAGTTTCCAAAATACGGAAACACGTTATTTCGTCCTGTGCATGTTGATATTACGAAGAACAGTTTTAACGTTCCCTACCGTGTTCACAGCGTATACCGGTGACATAAGCCGGGCACAAACAACGGAATCCTTTTTCTGTAAATCCAGCTTGGCATGTTCCACCGTTCTCACAAGGAGCTTTATCACAAGCACTCTTTAGATAAAGGGAATTTTTTTAAGTTACACGATAGAAAGAAAGAATTTGAAAACAGAATAAAGAAGAAAAAAGACAAGTTCAAGACCCGCTCTGCATGACCGTTAGCTGGATTTGTTAATTCTCCGTAGTCCCGAGTTCAAATCCTCGACCACACTTGTTATTAGCTAGCTGGTTTGACTCCGGCCAGTTGGAATTCTTAACACTGTTATGTTTGATTTAAAAATTATCTGCCTCAGGCATTTGCTCAGCCCCACTAGCATTGTTGCTATAAATGACTGCCGAGGGTAAATAACAGATTTTGTTTTCATTAAGCTGGTGTGCGGACCATTCGGCCACGCTGCCAACTTTCTAATTATAATTCTTATATCCAATTTTATAATTTGCAAAGGGCATAGATATCACTGCAGATATTCCTTTGTTCCTTTGTAGAGGAACTTCATAATTGCTTACCTCTGCTCCACGATAAACGTATCCTTTTGCGTCCACGAAATCCTGATCGTGTCCCAGATGAGTTGAATTGTTTAATTCACAGTTGTAGCTGCCTTCTGCCACCGAGCGCACTTCGTATTTAAAATTAATGCTAACACAGTTAGGTTCCTGGTAGCACAGCAGTTCACAGATATCTATGTCCGGGACTTGGCTTGTTCTAATTGTATGGCCTTTCAGACGTTTGTCAGTAAAGGAGAAAGAAGCAGGAAACTTCAATTTACGACATTCACCTGAAAGATGGCCATTATTAATACTGATTACCCGGGAACACTAGGAGAGCTTGCTCGCAGGCTAATACTGACCACGTAAGAGAGGTTAGGCTGTATGTAACTGTAGGTTTGCTTGATATATCTGTTTAGTATATACTAAAACAGTGGATAGTGTTTTTCACGCGCTTTGATTGGCTACTCAATCTGAGTGAATATCCTGCACCGTTCACTGATTCACCTCCAGTTCCTCCGAGCGAGCGACACCAAACTCGCATAAGTTGCAAGCCAAATGCCTTCCCGGTTTGCTGCCGCAACAAACAAAGAAATTTCACAACTAATCAAGCGAGCTGTCCCCGAAATACACGAAGAAGGTGACGAACTTTGGTTTGGAAGTTTTAACAGATAAAGCTTTGTCTTTTTTACTTGAATTTATCGATAAAACCGGTGAAAAAGGTTTTTGTTTACAAATGCAAATTAAGCTTAAGTCTTGCGTTACTTTATTAAGCTGAAAAGAAGAATTCACAACTCCTTTTGAAGAAAGTTCCCAGCAAGAGCTAAACAAATGCCTTCAAGATTTTATTTGTCGGCAAGAAAAAGCGACGACCGCGGCCGTTCGGTCATTGTGCACCAAAATTGTAATCGTTGGCGACAGTAAATGAGTTTAAAAATCATCATTTTTGCGCTCAGTTATCTCACTGTTTTAGTATATACTAAAACAATTATTCACCTCGGTGTCGGTGGCTAGTGGTGACATGGGATGATTTAACTCGCCGCTTCGCGGCCTCGGTAAATTATTACCACTAGCCATCGACACTGAAGTGACTAATTGTTATATTATACACATCTGTCTTATCTCTCCCCGTGCAAGGAGGGTCTCAATGGGGTTAACCGATAGGCGTAAAACGGCCAAAAATTTAGCCGATAGGCGTAAAAATTGAAAAATTTTAACCGTTAGCCGTAAATAGGGTAAAAAAGAGTTAACCGTAAAAGAAAGTGTTCCTTAGATTTGCTACTTTTAAGGAAGGTACTAAACTCACCTATGGTTGTGTTTTTTATTTCCCGGCTAGTGTGACTCCGTACGCACGTTAGGCGAAGCGCCTTTTAGGTGTTAACCAAGACCTAGGCTCCATTTCCGGCGCTCTATCGGGGAACTAATTTTTTCCATAGCGAAAGTGTGGCTTCTTACTGCGGATTAATATCTGCAATTTTCGGGAGGTCGTGCCCTCGAAACACTAGTGAAACAGCACGCAGCGATGTCACTGTTTGTAAAACACGTTGTCGATAAACAACACTTCCATGTTTTTCTCCGCTGACGCTATGGTAGACATTGCTATGCCTAGTCCCTGTACGGCGTCTTCCCACGCAGTCTCGGTCAAGGCATTTCGGTGACGAACTCGCTCGGACCACGTGACCCGAAACGCATTAGCCGCGTGGAATAATGCGGCCTACGAACAAGGCAACAGCAGACAGTCGTTCCGTACAGTCCTTCGCTATCATTAAAAACACTGGACAAGAGAATTTTGTTTTTGGCCGTTTTCACACTAGAGCTAGAAATGGATCATCCGTCCGAGACTAGCCTGTGTACAGTCGAGCCCTCCCCACAGACACCCCTTCTCCGATTTTTTTCTGAGGGGAGGGGGCGGCTGTACCAAGGCTACCTGGAACGGATAATCCCGTCTTCAAAAGTCAGACGGATTGTTCACTCAAAATTAAAACTATTCCATTTTCAAATTAAGACGTATTAGCTATCTGACGCGAATCATCAAACGGATAACCCGTCTCACACGAATAATCCTTCTCTAGTGTGAAAACGGCCATTTCTGTTATAATGAATGTCGCCCCGGCCTTGAGTTGGGCGTTTGCTTGTCTGCTTTTGCTTTTTCACAAAGATTATTTTTAAATTGACTATTGACATTTCTATGTGTAAAATAATATTAGAAGTGGATTACTTTATAAAAAGTATGATCGATCCAATGTGAAAATTTTTCAAAAGAATGGCTTATTTTATCCCGAGATGATCCGAAGACCTTTATTTTGATTTAAAAATACAAAAAAATACAGGTTAATTAATATTTAACTTTTTGAAAGAAAAGCAGTTATTTTTTAACTCTTTCGTTAACCGTAACTGAAAAAAAATTAACCGATAGCCGTAAAAGAGCCAAGATTTTAGCCGATAACCGTAAATGCCACCACCCCATTGAGACCCTCTGCAAGGGGAATCCGCTTTCCGGAATCCGGGAAAATTTTTGCTAATAGAATTCGGCGTCGTGGGCTTTTTGGAATCCAGAACACAGCTCATGCAATTAACTGAATTAAAGAATGGAATACGGAATTTGAATTCTACTTTCCGAAGTCAGGAATCCAGCATAGTGGAACCCGGTTAATACGGACACCAAGGGGACATGCCATAGTGTCCGTAATTATCTGCGTGTCCTTATTAAGCGGGCTCTCAGAGAAAACGTCAGGAACACATGTTTTATCAATGTAAAGACCAAAGCAGACCGTTTTACGAACCAAGGATCGGTAGAAGTATGTGGAAAGGCAGTCAATTGGGGTGGAGGTCTTGGTATGGAAATACCATGTGTTTACATTTTTGATGGTCCTCGGAAACACGTGGATTTACTTGAACAATTACTAGACGTTAGCAATAACTCAGCAATACGAGCGGAGGATGATCCTGGTACAGCTCGCAGCAAGCAAACAACGTCAAAGAGGAAGATGGTTTAGAGTAATGACTGCAACAAAAAGCCAAGGAAGTGAAACGTGTGTAAAAGGAGGCAGAAAACTTTATTAAAGGACTATACGTAGCACAAGAGTCGAACACTGGAAGAAAGACAGACTGTTCAAAATCAAATATGTCACGCTACTTTGTTACTGTTTTTTTTTAGTGCTGTAATAAACTTTTATTCACCAGTAAAAATCTGTCATTATTTGAACAGGGTACAATGTCTACAATTATTACATAATTGTGACAATGAAAATAGACAGTGTGCAGATAACCAGTGTCCGTAAAGCGGGGTTGACAATATATGACAGTTTGTGACTCGGTACACAGAAAAGTGTCAGTTGTCCGTATTAACCGGTGTCCGTATAAAGCGGGTTAATTTTAAAGAAAATATATGAGCTTTTTGTCGGGACAAACGAAACTGTCCGTATAAAGCGGGTGTCCGGATTACGCGGGTGTCCGTAGAGCGGGGTTCCACTGTACCTGGAATTTGGAATCCACTGCGAGGAATTTAGAATCCAATCATGACTTTCTTGGATTCCCTTGCATGGGGTGACATTGCGCATTGGTGCAAATAAGAAGCTTTCTGCACTTTAATGTCATCATGTTTAAATGCGCGCTGGTGAAATTTGGGAAACTGCCCACCTACCCCTCCCCTAACTCAACGTTAACATTTGCGTCTCACTTGGGGCAAAATGATGGGTTAGAGGAGCCGTATGTGGGCAGTTTCGTAGAAACCTAAATTGATCCAAAATATAAAGTTGTTGTATATTACGCAAATCCGATTAGGGGTACTATAAAATTGAAACTTTTTCGTCGGAATAGCTCATGGAACACAATTTTCTATTTACAGGCTACACAAAGTTGTCAGCTTTTGTGATGAGGCCAACAGAAGGCGTGAACGCACATAAAATATAGCCAAATTGCTATGCACTATCAGAAAATTGTACAGAATGCGTAGTGACTCAGTCAATTCCAAATGTACTCATCCCCCGGGGCATTGGTAACGAATTTGCCATTGTCGAATTTCATAATTTCTACCACTTTTAAAAAAGGAAAATCTATTTCGTATTATGAGTACGTAACCACAGCTGTTTAAAGAAAGACGTTGTCACTCATGACTCTTAGGGGTTTTATTGTAATATTGTTGCTCTTACCGAACTGGCCAATGGACGGATGAGTAAGCACAGCTATATTGTAGACATTCGGGAAAGGCGAGCAATCTATTGTGGAGAAAAAAACTGCGGCGTGCGGGACTTAGTTTGAAAAGTTTTGCGAAGAATTTGAATAGAAAGTGTCACCGTTTCAAAGATTGCAAGGAAGATTAAAATACAAAAATGGCCCTATCTGAAAAAAGACATCGATCTTCACAGTCTGCAGAATTGCACAGCGTTGCAACATTGTTTCGAAATGAAAGCAGCCAGGCCACCGATCATACGAATAAAATACAGCTTATTTTCATTAAGCACTCAGATGTTGTTGCCTGGGTTGTATTTGTGACAGTTAATACCGGTGCGTTCATTATATTCACTTCGTGGATTTGAGGTTTTACAGCCTCTCATAGTAAATTGCTTGCAGTCCGCCTTTTCTCTTAAAATCCGTCTAGTTCTTATCTCATCCAGCGCGATTGCAAACCACGACGTTATTATTACAATAAGGGATTGAGACCATATTTCTTCTCGGGCTTACGCCCTAGTTTCTCGCGGCTCGCGGCTTTGCCGGTTGCGTGCTTAGGTTTCGCGTGCAGTAACTTCGAAAAGAAAAATAATAGACTGCTCGCAGTCTACAACCTCTTTCACAGGCAAGATTTTTGCTTTGTCTCCGAGAAGGTAGGGCATTTGTTCACATTTTCAAGCCCAAAGTAGCCTGTTCCAGGCGTTCAGATAGTGGGGAGCGGTGCGAAGTAAAAGGAGCGCGAAAAAATAAAAGCGAGGGACGGGGAGAGGTGCACCGCTCTCCACTATCTGACCGCTTGGAACAGGCGAAGCCCAAAGATGGGCGTTATTATAACGGATCTGCTGGTCTCATCGTGGGCATTTGCAGCTAATTGTTTCGGCCGAAAAGATAACAAATGCACGGAATGGTAGGGGCCATTGTTTACCACGATGCATTTTTGGTAATAACTACACCATTATTTTTTGGTGTTATTTTTAATATGTAACTTTCCTACATCCAAATTCTGCTGATTTTTAGGTAAGTAATCTTTCCACTATTTCTTGCTTTCATCTGAATGCCTTTTGGCAGGTTTTAGTACGTTACTTTAGCCTTTTGCTTTTAGTGTTCCATTTTTCGTGCAT